CCTCCTCTCCTAGGTTCATGAAACGGTCGTCCATAAAATGCATTGTTGTTCTGTTGTAAGTAGCTAATCTTAAAGATTCCTAAATGGATCTACTTTCGGAAGGCCAAATGAAACCACGCCTTCTTTCTTTGCGTGAACATTTGGGTGGCATTATGCAAATATTTCCACACAGTGAGGTAGATATGTGGGGGCGTGTTAGAACGAGCCGTTTTAGGGGGGCGTGGCAGAGTCTTAACTTTGATAAAGAATATCTCTTTGGTTTTGAGACTTTAGTCTTTGCAACTTCAGGGATCTTATCTATGCACAATCAGCTTATAACACTCCAAAGAGAAAGGAAAACTTGAATTCGCATCATATGACCCTTTAAGTAAAGATCATGTTCCATGAAAATATTTTGTAAATTTCCTACTGTAAATATATTAAAACTTAATTTTTGTTTAGTAATATGCATTGCTAAGAACTTCATTTGGACAACTTTAAAGGTAATATTTTGATTTTTTTTTTGCACCCCCAGATTTTCAAATAGTTGTATTCAAATATTGTCCTATCATAACAAATCATACATCAATGGAAAGCTTATTTATTCAGCTTTCAGATGATGTATAAATCTCAATTTCGAAAAATTTACCCTTATGACTGGTTTTGTGGTCCAGGGTCACATTTGTAATTTATATACAAAAATATTACATTTATATACGAAAAGTGAATACTTAAATAAAAGTTGTAATGTAATTTTTTAAAAAGTCCAGGCACAGCAATTCTGGGAAAGCAGAGGAGAAGGAGGTAAAGAGTAGTGTTAATTTAAAAATAAGTACACATATACATTTAATATTACTACAATTTTAAAAAAACTGGAATTTTGGGAAGATAGAGAATAGAAGATAGTGATACTTTTTAAAAGTACCCTTTATTTCAAATTTGTGATCATTTTATGAATAAAAATGTTTCAATTTAATAAAATCATAAACTGTGTCATTATTGTTTTGTTTGTTAATTATAAAGTTAATTATTGAGTCAGATTCATGAGCAGAATAATTCAAATCCACCGAGTAATAGGAGGAAAATATTGAGTATCAGAAGGAAGAGGAGAGAGAGTAGGAGGACAGGAGGGAGAGGGATGAGGTAAGCAAAGATGTGGCAGAGATGGAGGAGGGATGGTGTGGGTCGTAGGGAAGTGAAGGCTTCGGGGATTCGGGAGGGAACTAAACACTGCAGGTTGAGGGGGAACAAAGGGATGACAGAGATTGAGGAGGAGGAGGAAGGAGAGGCCACTGCAGCGCACAGCAATGAGGATCCACTGCCTTAACCCCTGCTGAGATGTTTTTGCCAGTGACTCAGCAACATACAATTAATGAGCTGAAATTAATGTTTTTGGTTTTGTCAGGACCTACAACTATTTTCAGAGGCAACTAGAGAGCAATTAGATTCCCTGTACGAAGCGAACTCTCCGAACAGAGCCTAACGATTGAGCAGAGCTCTTTGCATTATCAACTAACGTTCAAATTATGCTATTTGTATTTGAATGAAACATTTGAATAGATTAGGTTTCACAATGCATGCAAACACTCCTGAAGTTTCATAACATAGTGAGTCATTCAAACAAAGTCAGCTGTAACAAGCAGCAATAATCCTGCACTGAAGCAATTTTTTCCATGCACTTCTGTTATATGCAACTAATTTTTAAAGAGCATACATATAATACTGCATAATACAAAATATGATCTTAACCAGTATATAATAGCACGTAAGTCTTCCTTGGTCTTGACAAATATGCTTAATGGCTGGAAAAATGACTGACACATGTTGATAGGAAACACATTGTTAGCCTGTCTGAAGGGTTTTTAGACTCCTGGCAAAAATGAGTTTCCTCAAGCTGTGTTAAAGTGTCAAATGAAATAAGCAGAGTTCGATCATTTCAACTCTTCCCTAGGCTGTACTGTGTGGAGAAAAACACTTCAACCTCACCAAAACCCGTCTGAGCTCAAATCCCTACAGAGACGCCCACATTCGACAAAGCCTTGTGCTAAACATCTGCATCATTTTATAAGGGTTCAGTCCCTCAGCAACAGACTTGCTTCATGAGGAAAACTTGTGAATGTGAATATAATGATCATCTTAAATGTCTCTCAAAAGTCTCAAAATGTAAGAAAGTCACTTGGTAAATACTAATTGAAGCTTTGACACATTTCAGCTTCTACTTAACAAGATGTATAGAAACAATCAATAAGATCATGCAAATACAAAGCCCTGCATACATGAACAAGTTTGTTAAAATAAAAACGCACATCATTCTCATAAATTTCATTTCAATCAAGATAATGATTCAAGTAAAAACAGATGTTAACCCTCACCCCATTAGCATCTATGACCATCATGCAAAGTGTGAAGTGTATCCATTATCCCCACTGGCAAAAGTGCTTTAATATATTACAATAACTATATTTAAACACTGCAAAATTTTTATTTTCAATTAAATATTTAGTAATTTTGCGTTTTAAAATGGTCTATATACAGTGGGTACGGAAAGTATTCAGACCCCCTGAAATTTTTCACTCTTTGTTATATTGCAGCCATTTGCTAAAATCATTTAAGTTAATTTTTTTTCCTCTTTAATGTACACACAGCACCCCATATTGAAAAACATTTTTATTCTATATAGTCAATATATTTTGTATTATTATTTATTTTAGTATATCAAACTAAAATAAATTGAAATGAAAAATGTTGCCATGGCTGAAATAATTTTTGTATGCTTTTAATTCTAGTAATAAATAAATAAATAACCAAAAATGATCTGAAGAGTCTTAATATCATGCCGTTTTTTCCTCCTCAAATAAATATTTATATAATTATTAATTATTTAATATTGATTAAGACTATGATTTATTTTGCAATGAAGACGTCTACTTTGACGCATTTAAAGTAATGCATATGCCATGTGGTGGAAGGGTTAACCATTTCTGAATCAAGTGGATCAACATGAAAGGTGTTCACACGTTTTTCCACACAAAAAGCAATATATCCAGAGTGATATATTCGGTACACAACCCATGCAGCAAGCCAATCAGAAGGAGAAATTAATTAAGATGGGTGTGTCTTGTGAATCTAAATGAAAAAGGTGAAGAAAAGCCTCCCTGATTCATGAAATAAATGAAACAGAAGTCACAAACGGTGCTAAATTACGAAGACTAGCAGCAGCAGAGGGCATGCAGGAGAGTGTCAACAAAAAAAACACGCACTCAAAAACTCCAAACATACCATTAGTCGGATGCCTGGCATACGACACAGAAAATCTCTTTACTGCCGGCATAGAGAGCAGCTCTGAGGAGATAAAAGAGGCATTCGGCATTACTCGTGTCACTGCGCCCCTCCTGAGCTTTCACTTTTACTCAAAACCACCAGCATTTTTAACCCTCCCACCATCATGCAATCTTTCTGTCCCTCGTAAAACCATCTATAACAAGCTGGTAAAAGTAACAGTGGGGCCAGATGTTGCCCTTGAATGTGGAGATAGAGTAACAAAAAAAAAACAGATGTCACAACAAACTACCCAGAATTCTCTGTGCTACAGCATCCTTTTGGATGCAGCATGACATGGCAGTATTTTGGGTGCCATTTCAAATGTCTTCCACAAGGTAATCCTCTATATCTCAGAGACACAGCAACACCCTGTGGACAAAACTATTAATGCTGGTAAGAAAGTGAGGGGTGAACATTCATTTCGATTAGTATTATTAATAATAATAAAAATAAATATAATAAAACAAGAATACTAATAATAAATAATTCACTTCAAATAATCATTTCAAATAAAGTATTTAATCCTGACGGGGACAGAGAAAACGCATTTGTTTCCACATATGAAATTGGAGTGCAATTTCCAATAAATGTTTTGAAAATAACCATAATATCAGTTAGAGATTGTGGTAAAAGCAGTAATTTGTGTTGCTATGGATATTATCCATCACAAACACATTTTCAGAATTGTCGTAGGACACTAAAATGTTTCCCGTTTGCATAAAATAGCTTGCAAATTTGAGCAATTTAGCAAATTATGAAACAAATGTTTGTTTACACGCACATGCAGCATGCAAATAAGCCGTTTGGAGGTAGCAAAGGTGACAAACGATTAATCATAACATTATTCGGTAACTGGGGAAACCTAATTTTCCAACGAGAGACACTGATAAACAGCTAGACGCAAATAGTTTAGGAACAGCTCCTGCTGTGTGTAATGGCTTGATTTGGGATGTCTTTGAAGGCTAGACTAAAATGTCAAGTATGTTGAAAAACAGCCACTAGGATGGAAGTAGGAATATTGAATGCTAGTCAACATTATTTGTCACACTGAATGAAGTAAAATGGGAATATCTAGACAATATTCAGAAGAATTGTTTGCTGGGACGTTTGTGATCATTTGAATCTTCAGGTCAAAGGTGGCTGAGGTACATTATGACCCTGTGTGTGTGTGTGTGTTTGGGACATACCGGTTTGAGAAGACCGATTCCTGAGCGAGGAGGGCTTTTTGCGGGGAACTCGTGATAGGTCTCTCAGGTTGGGGAAGGAGGCGCTGAAGAGGCCCGCACACTGGGCGCCTGTGTGTGGGAGGGGAGGGAGACCGTGGGGTGTAGCGGGTGGGGATAGGGGAGGGGGGTGATGGTTAGTAGTGGTTAGTTTTCACAAGTGAACATGCAGCTCCTCATTTGAAGAAGTTAAAAGGATAGCTCACTCAAATTAAATGATCCGTTCTAAATCATTTCTGAATCAAAATGTAAATTTTATATAAAATTTACATTTTAATTCAGAAATGTTTTAGAACGGATCATTTAATTTGAGTTTATATATACATATATATATTTTTTTAGGGCATAAAGTAAAAAATACCAGGGTAATACAACAATTGAAAAGAATATGTAGTTTAATGTAATCTTTAATATATATTATTTAGCATATTATTAAAATATTGTTAAAATATTATACATGTTACCATAAATAATTGTTATAATTTCTTTTTATATTAATAATTATAATATGTAAATTAAATGTATATTATTATATTAAATAACTTAATAAATAATTGAAAACAAATATGTCACAAATGAAGTTTAAATGCAAATGTAGGAAAAACATATATTACATTTTTTATTAAAATATAACATTTTATGAATTAATAACTCTTAATAGGTATAAAATATTTACACTAAAAAATAACTACTAGGCTAACTTTGGAACATGCTTGTTATTACTCTGTGTTTTTTTTGTTTGTTTTTTCACAATTAAAGTCTTATTAAATTAAGTACTTAAATGTAAATGTTTGTTGCAAATTCTATAAAAGTTTTTCAGAACCATATTAACCCAAAACGAATGCAGATAACTTTGCACAAGCATTTTAAAATAGATTTTTAAAAGATTTTGTCTGCTTGGACACTTTCATTTTTCACTGACCCATTTTTGACATTCATTTCTGGCTGAACTATTCCTTTAAGCTCAATTCCAGGCATATAGAGAACATTTATTTATAGAAAACCCAGTTAAACTGCTGGTCTTCGGCTGGGAACATAAATATATTGCCAGTGCAGGAGGGTGAAACACTAACAAATGTAATTTAAGGTCTGAGGCTCTAAAGAACAAAAGCACATCTCTAACTGCAACCACTAGAGGGTAGTACTGAAAAAAAACAGCACTCAAATGAAAGACATGCCATATGCAACATGCACTTAGTTAAGAAAATAGTGATCTGCAAATCATGCTTTAAAGGTTTAGTGAGGTGCAAACAACATTAGCCACAATCTCTAAACATTATGCAACGCCGAACCTACGAAACTCTGTGCACTGTGGCCCTGTAAATGTTCTTTGGAGACAGAAATAGTATAGACAAGAATAGAAGAGAAGGACCTGCCAGCAGCCATATTTAGACTACTACTGGCAGCATGGACACATTTCCGATGCACATGACTTAAATAAACTTGAGAAGGGTCCTTGAACTGTGTCATTGGCGCTAAACAGAAACAAGTGCGTTTAACGGTCAACCGGGATGGTTTTTCCAATGAGACCAATGACAGGAGAGATGTGCTACATGAAAACAACATAAGTGAAATGTAATTCCCACCTAGCCCGCTGGGTTTGATCTCAGGTGACTGACGAGAAGACGATGGGAAGATGCGATACGCCAGCCCTCGAGAAGAAGTGTTGCTCTCTGAAAGAGCCTGCAAAGAGAGGAAAACAAAATCATATGGACACACATAAAAAATATACATATACACAAAACAGCATTGATAATCATTTTAGCACAACCATTCCTTCTTTCTAAATAAATTCAGCTTGTTATTCAGTTTTTAAATTATACCCCTGTATGATGACTACTGTGAAGGAATATAAATATTATTTATATATTTTTAAATATACACAACCGTTCAAAGATTCAAACATGATCCTTCAGAAATCATAATATGATGATCTGGTGCTGAAGAAACATTTCTTAATGCTGAAAACAGTTGTGCTGCTTAATATTTTTGTTGAAACCATGATAAAAAAATTTCAGGATTATTTAAGTAGAAAGGCAAAGATAATAGTTTTTCTTTAAAACAGATTTTTTTTGTAACATTATAATTGTCTTTACTGTCACTTTTGATCAATTTAAGGCATTCTTGCTCAATAAAAGTATTAATTAAAATATATATATATATATTACAGAGCACAAACAGAAAATATTACTGTATGATTTATGATCAATATTTTTGTAATTAAATATAGCACTGTAATTGTTTCCAAAATTAAATAATTGCATTTTATACTGTCATTAAGGTAAATTGTTAAAATGTCATCCAAAACATTTAATCAATATCCTAATTAGGTAACACTTTTCTTAAAGCCTTTATGTTTATTGCATTATAATTATTTATAATGTACATTGTAATGCATGATATCTTGTCGTAAATTATCATAACCAAATTTAAAATGCATTATGTAACAATTAATTGATAAGTGTTATAATGTATTACCCGTGGTTACAATTATTCATGAGATTGTACAATGCATTATAAGGTGGATTAAAAGGCTTTAAAACTACTTTTATAATGCATTATACATAATGGCTCTAATTAAAGTGTTACCTTTAATTTCACATGTTAACTTTCTTCTAAAATTTTCACAGAATGCCATCAAAAACTCATAGATTAGACTATATGGTCTTCACAAAACTCACTGCTATTTGCCCTGCGCCATTAACACTGCACTATTCTCACCACACAGTTGGCAGTAAAATGAATTTCATTTAAAGTAAATGTTTGTGTCCATTTTTTGATTATGGTGGCAGTTAATAAAATAAAGAAAATGAAAGCCTACTAGAAGAGCCTAGTACAGTACTGTACCTCCATAGATCCAGCCTTTCGGCCTCGAATGAGTGGCGACTTCCTCTGAATGCTGATTGGCTCAGTCAGTGCGGCTCTGTCGGGCTCGTCTTGGGAAAGGTCTTCAAGACTGCCTGGATTTGTCTGCTTCTCGTGGTTCTGTTACATGTGAAATGGAAGTGGTCCAGCATGCAATATTTCTTAGAAAGTTGTACATAAAATCCAAGGTTCAGCAGAGGAATGTGGTCCAAAATATATATATATATATATAAATAATGCATGGGGCGAGTGAAACACAGACCTCAGAGGAGGCAGGCCGGAAGCCAAAACCCATTGGTGCATTATCCTCATCCTTGCACCCCTTCACTCCCGGGCTAAAGTGCAACTCCACGTGAAAACGTTCCTCTGAGGAGGGGTCCTACAGACACACATATCAGCATATGAAAGAAGCATAGAAATTGAGTACAAACAGCTGATGCCACATCTTGTACCTTGTTATTGTCCTCATACAGCATAATAACAATCTGTGTCATATAGTTGAGTTCGGAAACAGCGCTGAGGTAGTCCATAGCCTGCTTCCACTGTTCATCTTTTTGCTCCTAAACAAACACAGATGAGATAGAGCAAGTAGTAACCGGCATTAAACATGTGCATGTTTGATGTTTGTTTACTCACGTCTAACAGGCCTCCGTAGCGAAAGATGTTAAGCAGGGAGTGGACGTGGCTCTCGCTGGTGAAATATAGCCGGGTTCGAACATGTCGACCCGGAGACATCACTCCCCGCGAGTACCTGAACCACCAGGAGGAATGAAATACACAACCTGATCACTCACAGGTTCTGAGTCTGCAGAGCTTCTACAACAATGTGAGGTTGTATAACATGATAGCTGAAGTACATACTGCATGGTTTTGATGGAAAAGTGGGAACTTTTAAGTATGCATGTCAAAAGTTGATCCTTTTTAAACGGTCTATGATGGCATTACTATTAATCAACAAAAAACCTAATAAAATAATATATAAACATACAATATAAAAATATAAATAATCAATATATAATTATTTTTAGAAATAAATTTTTATTTTTTAATGTTAAGTTTGTTTTGTTATTTTACATAGTATTGTCAACAAAAAATTTTTTTTTAAATGTTAATTTCATTGAAAAAATCTGTATGGATTTTAGTGCAAGCAAAATGTACTACATTTTGACAAAGATTTTCATCCAAATAAAATAACTATTACTAAAACAAACAAAAAAATCTTCAAATGTCAAAACTTTTGAAAATAAACATTAAACAAATTAATATTTATACATTTTTCAAAATGTTGAAAACTTTTGGTCTGGTTTGCTATTATTTGACACATCGTCAACAACCAAAAAATGTTATGCTATTTTAGTGCATTAGTAAAATTGACTACATTTAATAAATATTAACAGATTGCATTTATATTTATTTAATAAATATGGCAAGATAAACATTTTCATCAAAATACAAAAACTATGACTAAAAAAACCCTAACAATATCAATATCAACAATATTGAAAATCAATCAATCAATCAATCAATCAATAAATAAATAATTATATATCTTTCAAAATGGTCAAAAATTTGGTTTGGTAAAACTTGGATTGCTTAAGTCTAACAAACATTTTGACAATTTTTTTTACATATTACTGCCAACAAAAAACTAAAATGTTATTTTTATTGACAAAAACGGTTCACCATTTTAGTGCAAGTAAAATGGATATCAATTAATAAATTTGACATGCCAAAGCTTTTCATCTAAGCATTAACTATGGCCAATAAATAAATACATTCATAAATAAAGGTAAAAGTTAAGCGCAAGGGGTTGTGAGTAAAATAACCACAAAAAAACCTGCATGACTACTGAAGTGGAATGTACTAATAGTAATTTAACGCACTATACAGGATGAACTGTATAGTATGCAAAAGGTGATTTAGCCTTCACTCGGTCAAAGAGTTAGGCACTGTACCCCAGTACAGAGACTCACAGTGGATGCAGCTTGTTGACGGCCTCGTCCTCATGTGTTCTCTGAAGATCCAGCTGAATCTTCTTGACCAGAGGCAGGCAGTAGGCACTGGCGATATCCAGCTTCTCTGCTTTAGTGATTCCATACTCCTGAAAGAGAGCATGTATGCAGCTAACAGCAAGGTGAGCGAGAATATATGAACACTATTCGCCGCGATTCCTCTACCTGTGGGATAATGATGTCTGCAAGTGCTCTGGACAGACGGAAAAGCTCCAGCGTGTCCTCCAGCCCCAGAGAAGAATTGTGTTGGGTGTCGTATTTCACACAGTCATAGATGTCTGGGATCTTACTGATGTCATAGCGGCCGTTTTTCATGCGGAAATCACGCTCCAGTTTGGACCAGCGCTGCAGCATGAGCTCCAGAGTCTCACTGTGGTATAGCTGTAGATCTGTGAAAATTTAAAAATATATATTTATATATATATATATATATATATAAAAATATACATACAGTATATATATATATATATATATATATATATATCATTTTTGTC